CAACGATGACCAAACCACAACTCGGAAGATGGAGAAGCCTCGACGTTTTGGTCCGTCCTGGACCATTATCAAATACAACACCAACCTTCTTTCTTGCTGGTCCTGTTAGAGTGATAACAGCTGCCTTGCAGGTTCAGTGCTTTTCCTTGACAATATATGTGGTGTCTAAGAGTAATGATACAGTTTTAATGTAACCACCGGTGAGCGGACAGCACGCTGTATACGTGATCCTGTGGTCCCGGGTTCCATTCCCGGCGCCGGCGAGAAACAATGGGCAGTTTCTTTCACCCTGATGCTCCTGTTATCTAGCAGTAAATAGGTACCTGGAAGTTAGTCAGCTGTCACGGGCTGCTTCCTAGGGTGTGTGTGGTGTGGGGGAAAAAAATAGTAGTTAGTAATAGTTGAGAGGCGGGCCGAAAGAGCCCGCCCCGCAAGCACAACTAGGTGAATACAATTACGGAGCAACAATTTCAAGCTCAAGTTCTTCCCAGCTTGGTACCTTCTTTTGATAATGACTTATTTGAAGCTCAAGTGCCTGTGTAGAACAAAAAAGAAGATGCATTTCACCCACAGGGTAATAAATTAACATGGATTTGCCTATTATCTGAAGCCACAAGTGCCAAGGCTGTACTCAGTCGGCTCTAGTTAAATATTCATTTGGATTATAATAACCTTAGTTATTGGGATGAATGAGCTAAGTTAGGCAGTTTATAACATCTCTCTGTTTAATGTATTAACGCTATATAGTAGTGTCATACAGCCATACAGTGGGGTATAGCAGTACTGGATACATTCTCTATAAATTACAGAGTCCCTAATTATATAATAAGGGGTAACCGTCGGTGCACAGGAGAGTCTTTCGCCTCCCAGCCCCATTCCACCCAGTCTTCTTCCATTTTCCCTTGAAGTCCTCATCTCCATCCCCCTTGATCTCCCCTTCGTATCTCTCCTCCCCATTTACCCCTCTCTCCCCCATCGTCTAACGTCGATTGAAATAAGGGTAAAGAGGATTGCTGCGTGCATGCTGACCAAAATATTGACTAGACCTAGAATCAGTTCACTTAAAGATATAATCAGTGGAGCACTAACTCTGGACAGAAGAGCCTCCAATAGCAACAGGTGGACCCATTGTGCAATAAACACCATCAATACATTCGATATAACAAACACAATCACTGAGAGGGGTGTCGACGAAATACATGCAGACTTTGTTATGCAAGTCCCTTGGGAATCGCTGCCAGCAGACTTTAAGATTATGGCTCCTGAAGAAAAAAAGAACCAGACTAATCCTCATATGCTACGTAATATTGCACAGATGCATATAGAAGCAAACTTGGCATCTGACAGCTTCACATACTTCACAGATGGATCAGTACACCAGCAGGGGACAAGAAACCGGAGCTGCAGTTAAAGCAGGAAACTCTGTAAATAGTTGGAGACTCTCAAATGGGTGTTCGACTTTACAAACAGAGATGCTAGCCATTCAAAAGGCTTTGGAACATGCTCTTGCTGATCACCGACAACATGTTATCATACATACAGATTCGAGAACTGCCACTGAAACCTTGCAACAAGATCGCATACGTGATAACATCCATCTGATCACAAATGTCATATCATTAATGTAAACACTCAAATGACAAGGCCGATGGGTACTTTTCAACTGGGTGCAAAGTCATATGGGAATAATAGGAAATGACATTGCAGACGAGTCATTGCAACTAAGCCAAACTTGCAACTAAGAGAAGAAATGTAGACATTTACATACCACAGAGTCTATCACAGATTAAGAAAGTAATAGAAACAGAGCAATGCAAAAGATGTACAGTGACCACAACACAGCAGTTGCAACATCAGGATCTGTGGGTTAGTACAAGAATTCAACCAACTACGATCCACTTAGTTTGATGAAAGGGAGCAGTAGAACAACAGAAGTATACTTACATCAAATCCGGCTTGGATACTCATGTACATGGGAAATAGGCTTACAGGTTCCGGAAGATGAGAGGAAATGTCAGCACTGTGGAGAAATACCCGACCGACCACTGGAACATTATCTAACACGACCAGTCCCACGACCAACGGTGGTGCACTGGCGATAAAATTGCGTAGAAATTGCGTCTTCTTAAAAAGGGAGCGGGCATTCCAAAACACCACAGTATTCTCAGGATGGGGCGCCATTATCCCTGAAATACAACAGCTAACTTTCTGACCACCTGTGCACAGACATCTCCAAAGGAGGAACTAGAAAAAGCCATAAAACCCTCTTACAAAGTAAGTAAAATGTGTGGTATCAATGACAGCCAGTCCAGAGGATGTTGATCAATGCTTCTCTCTGCCTGACGGAAGCGGTGATCGGCTCGCAAACTCTCTTGACGACGCCTGCGACTGGTGGGTGCTTCACTCTGGGCCTCATGTTCCAACGGTGTCACAATCCCCTGGGAAAGTGCCTGGGGGACCAGAGGATCATCGGGGCTATCTGTTGGAGCAGTACCTCCTGATCGATGGGTGCGTTGGCTTCTTTGGGGAGAGGCAGGAGGGTGACGAGTGCCAGGCTCCGGCCGAGATTGAGCGTCCATGTCTGTATCCGTGGATGAGTTTCCGTCCATGTCAAGGCTACCCAGGAGGGAAAATCGATTAGCAACTTGGGCATATGAGGCATGTGACCGGGACAAGCAAGAGCGTCTGCTAGTTCCTACTTGTGAAGAGGCCCGACCAGGGGGAACCTGGAGGCAAGAAGAAGCGATAGGCTGATTGAGGGCACGCAACCTCTGGAACAACTCATGTCGAGGGGTTCCCGCTGTTTTATGATCGATGTCCAACTGGAGGGCCTCAAGATATACCGGGCAACTCTTGGACGTAACCTTGTGATGGCCATGGCATAAAAAGCAGCGAGATGCAGGAGAGCACCCACCGTTATCTCTGTCTGTATGACCTGTTTTGCCGCAGTTTGCACAGCGTGCTGCATTGCGGCAGGTGAGGCGACTGTGGCCCAATAGATGACAAGCGTAACATGGCAACACGGGGAAGTTGTAGGGCTGGACCTGATATGAGGTCCTGTGTAGTGCTACCCGGTCGGGGTCGCCCATTGAACTTTACACGGACCATGGATGTCGGCCCTGCTGCTCCCCGAATTCTGATAACTTCCAATAATCCCACTGCACGCTCTAACACCTGCAGAGCGGCCTGGATGTCATCCACATCAACACTGGTCAATTGGGCCAATCTTCCCATACCGGGCCCGAGACTCCTCCTGCGACAATACCTGTCGGCACCTGACGGGCCAGTCCCCCAACTTAATAATGTCGGATACACGGATGTGTGATAGAGCCTCCTTTTTGATGTGCAGCTTCAGTGCTGCACCCCTACCCAGGGTACGTATGGTCTCGGGCAGGCAATGTGGCCACAATACCGAAGCCTCAATTGCTGCACCTAAGGTACGTGGATTTGCAAACACGCACTGACCTGATTCTGATTGGATTAAGACAACCACAAACGAGGAATGGGGTACCACATGAGGAAGGTTTTCTGAAGGCGAAGACATCCTCTTAGCTTCTCGCTCTGGGGCAACATCAGCCGACTCATTTTCCAGCAGACGTTTTCCTCTCTGGGACTTGCTGTCAACATCCATGGCGCCCCCGCTCGGGGAGGCGTCCATTAGGGAGGCTCCGGCCTCCCCCGGTGCTGTGAGCCCCTGGGTAGCTGCAGTGAGCACACACTGGCCCAAAAAAGCCAGCTGAATTCAAAGATGAGCTCCACGTAAGGTGTGGAAAGAAAGTCCAGCCAGGAGCGTTCAATCCGCGCGCCAAGATGGCCGACCTTCGGGCGGGCCCCCCAGCAGTAAATGGGTACCTGCATGATTGATAAACGATTTGCTGGATCGTATTCCAAGGAAAATTAAGACTAAGGACGTGCCCGAAACGCAATGCGTGCTATTGGTTTTACGAGAATGTAACAACTCGTGTATCTATAAATAAACAAATACTCTGGGATTCTTAGTTCAACCTTGACGCCTTGCTGACGCCTGACCTGCTCTGCCAATTAGGGATCGTCAGTTAACGTTTTGCCTTCATTTAACTGCCAGGATGGTTGCGACGCCTGGTGCCTATATCGATGCTTGATCTCGGAGGGGTCGATAGATTTTTTGCGTTGAGCAGTGGTCTGGAGCCGGCTTGGCCGAAATTTAAGGTGTTGGGGACCCGTAGGAGGCTCCTGTGTTCCTTCTGGACGTGGAGGGCGTCTGCCTCTCACTCTGCCGGGATTGTTACCCTCGATAAAAGCCAAACGTGTATTTGTTTTATATGCAAGAGGTCATACATTCTTGTACAGCCGCTAGCACGCATATTCTTTAATCCTAATTTCCCCACACACACTTGCTCTTCAAGAAGCAGCGCGTAGCAGCTGTCTAAGTCCCAGGTACCTATTTACTCATAGGTAAACAGAGCATCAGGGTGAAAAAAGCTCTGACCATTTGTTTCCGCCTCTGCCGGGGATCGAACCTGGACCCTTAGGACTACGAACGCCGAGCGCTGTCCACTCAACCGTCACATACGTCAAGATATATGAATACACTGTGGCTTCTTGTCCCTCGACACAATGAATTAGTGTTATCAAATATTCCCATCTTACAGGATGGTTTGTCGTACATTAATGAGGAGAGAAAATACCTGCCTCCAACGCAAAAAAACAAAAAAATGACTAAATAATAACTATGATTTTCGTAAGAGCCAAGCACTGAATCATGGAAATATTATATTATAATTATTTTTACCAGTTACTCTAAAATTCCTCTCAAATATTTTTTTTTTTGGTGGGGGAGGGTTGGCTATCCAGTTGGGTGTGTATAGACTCTTCCAGTTGGCCCTCTGTGTGAGGGGCGGGTGGTGGCTCTCGCCTCCCGGGGACGCCTGTGTGTCGCCCAGTACACGCCCAGTGCTGTATATTTTTCAGGTAGAGGTTTTACATGTAGATCCCGTTTCAGTCTTTTCTTCTAACATACAAATAATTTGAACTGAATAAGTTAGTAAGATGTTTCCAACAATTTCATTTGGGCTTTCGTCTGTTCCCAACAGGGTTGCACATTTTGCAAATCCGATACATAGGTTGACCCATCTGGCAGTTGGGTCAGTGCGTCGACCATTTACACCAAAATATGATATGATATAGCTGACATTGTACAAGTGATAAATGTTTTATTTTTGTGCAGTATTCATAAGTTGTAGTGTAAGTATAAAAGTCAAATCATACCCCCAGACAGTTCGCAAACATATTTCAAAATTTATCTAAATCATACCCAATCTGATGCAACCCAGCACAATCTAACCCCAACTAACTCGACCGAACTTGTCACAGCCTAACCTAGGCTGACTAGCATAACCTAACAATATATACTGTGGTTTTGACAATTAGAAAAATAGCTATGTCAAAATCAAATCAAATCAAATGTTTAGGTAAAATTACATACAAGATGAGTTACACACATAATGTTGGATTTCTAGATAGTACATACGGGTCCATCTAATTACCGCAAGCTACCACAAGCTACACAAAGCTTCCTGGCAATATGTTAGTAGTGAATAAATATGATATGTTAGTTTAGGCTGACCTAACCTAACTTGACAAAACCTAACCTAACTGACGCTTGGATCGTCAACTTGATTTGGCGTCACCAGCTCCTTATTTTCGTCTAATTTCTTTATAAAAATATACTTTTGTAGATTAAAATTGTTTTTTCGTGTTGTACATTCAGCACCAACATTATAATGAGTAAATATATCATATTTATTCATTACTAACGTATTGCCAGGAAGCTTTGTGAAGCTTGTGTAGCTTGTGGTAGTTTGTGGTAATTAGACGGACCGAGTACATACTATGCCTAAAGTCACAAATACGCACTGCATTTCGGGCAAGTGTGTGTACGATTGACCATACCCAATATAGTAGTGTAGTACCCCATGTAACTATACTAGTATACAACAACTGCCATAGTGTATTATGGCATTTATACAACATCCCATAGTACTGTACGTGTGTTAGGTAGGGTTTTGTAATTCAAACGGTTTTAAAGTTATCCAACAAAAGTCCTTTACATTGATATGATTCGCATTTCAGAATTACATAAATTTAAACAGTGACTAGGCTCTTCTTGTGAAAATGAAACCAAACCATAGATAATACATAATAATATTTGTAGCAAATTTATTTTGTCAATATTTAGAGGTGCTGCATAATAGGGTTTTTTCTTCGCCATTTTCGTGTAAATAGTACATGCTCATGCAGTAGGATATACAATGGGGCCTCGACTTAGGATGCTAATCCGTTCCCAGAGACGGATCGAAAGTCAAAATATCGTAAGTCGAAGCGATTTTTCCCATGAGAAATAAAGTGAATTGAATTAATCCGTTCCCCAACCTCCAAAATATTAACATACAAATACATTTTATACTGAATACAATGTTTTTTTCTAACTACAATACAATACCTAAGTTACTCTTACCTTTATGGAGGGCTCTTGATGGTGTATGGAAGATGATGAGAGGGGAGGAGGAGAGTTGTTACTGTTTGGAAGGAGTCCCCTTCCATTATCACATCAGGCAGTGATGTTTTCTCTGGGGTACTCTCTCTCCTACATTTTGCCTGAATACCACTAGGACCTGGTTGTGGTTCAGTGCTTGCTTGTCTCACTACAAGTTTGTCAAGAGACATTTGTTTTTCCTTCGTTTTAACATTTGTCTGTAATGATGCATCACAGTGTCATTGAATAGGTTAAGGCAACGGCCTACTGCACCTTGATTTGGGTGAGTCGTTTCAGCAAAGGCTTGCAATTCTTCCCATGCTGCACACATTTTCTTAATTGTTGAGGAAGAGACATTCTGTACTCTTTCTGTTTCTGCTCTATGGTCATCCTTACATGCGTTTTCATATGTCAAGCCTTACCACTGACTTTCCTGGGACTCATTACGTGATTATTAATAATTACTTTAATGTTCAAAATGCAAAAAATCACCACAAATGCGAAATTTCTTATAGGCGCCATCGTCGCTAAGCGGGTAGCTGTAGTAAACCGAGGCAGGTCGGACCGCGTGACCGGGAACCACGTGCTCGGTCGACCTGAATGTGTACCAACAAATATCGAAAGTCGATGACACCATCGGATGTCGAGTCGCATTTTTCGATGAAATTTACATCGTAACTCGAAATTATCGTAAGTAGGGGCAATCGTAAGTCGAGGTGCCACTGTATTTGGTGCATAACAATGAAGCTTTCCACATTTTTAAGCATTTATTTATCTTAGTAAGGATAAAGCATTTATCCTAGTAAAGATAAAGCATTTATTTATCCTAGTAAAGATAAAGCATTTATTTATCCTAGTAAAGATAAAGCATTTATTTTTCCTAGTAAGAATGTTGCATGCATTATTAGGGTTTGTAACAGCCATCTGGTAAAGGTTCATGCCAGGTCCACTTTGTGGGGCCCCTATGCAGTTTTAGTTAATTTCCCATTACTTCCCTATGGCATGTGATGGTTACAAATTCTCGCACTTCATTTTTTACTGTGTTAAAGCAATGACCATTTGTGTTACTTTCAATTTCACCAGATTTCCCCTATGTTACTGTTCACCTTTAATGACCACTTTACTGTACTTTCAACTGTCATTAAAAGTTACCTAAAATTATTGTTCACCTTTGGCATGCTTTACCCATTACTGTACTTCTCATTGTTGCAGCTTACTTAAAAGTCCTGTTTTAATGAAAATTTTTCCATAAGTAATATATCCTCATTTATTAACCCCTGCACTACACACCTGTTTTTAGCAAAAACTTTTTAGTGCAATTGTTAAGGACATATTTTTGTTTTTATAAATGTTAAGGTAATGTCAAAATGTTTCCAAACTCAACTATTTTCATTTCAAAACAGTGATGAAAGCATTAAGAAACATTAAAATATGGCCTAATTAAAAAAAAATAGTACAACTCTCAGAACGAGATTTCTCAGTTGGCGCAGCACAGTGGTTAAGACTGACATTCCACACCAATGGTGCATATACGACTGTAAATTTATTTATATATTTTTATTTATATATACTGTACTGTACGAGAGTTCAAACATTCTTATTAAGCACTAGCACCCATAGCGTTGCGAGCAGGTTCTTAATCCTACTTTTTCCCATAATACGATCCGCCAAATTGTTTAACAATCAGATATCCATTCACTGCTGGGTGAACAGAGGCTATAGTTAAGGATGGACATCTAGCCAACCCTCCCCGGCTAGGATGCGAACCCAGGCCAAAGCGCTCGCGAAGCACTGGGCGAGTGTTTTACCACTGCGCCTCAGGGACTGCTCTGAGCATCTGATGGTCTTGGTCAGTGATGCCATTGCTCTGGCATCACATTCTTTTTGTTTTCTGGGGGGGAGCCCCTTCGGCTCCCCGGAGCTTACTAGGCTGATATGCTAATGTCAGACTTTGGCATCAGTCAATGGCGTGTATGGCGTTCTATGGGCCTACCGGGAACCACGAGCCAGAACCTGGCCCCCTCAGATGAGGCTAGGGGAGCAATGGCTTATAGAAACCCCCGTGTAGCTGGAAGCATTCTATGTCTGCCATCGACTGGGTCAGGCACCCAGAAAGGTAAGCATCCGAAAACAAACCCCTATTCTGGTGAAAATATTGCTACCAAAAGTCAAACAAGTGGATAAAACTCCCCTAAAAGAGACGAGCAAACGATCAAGACATCACACGTCGCCGCGCCGCTGTCTGTGCAGTTCCCCCCTCCCCAGGAGGGGGGGGAGGGTGTTACGAACCCGAATCCAGCGTCCGAGCACGGAGCAGTGACCACAGCGCCATCTGTGGGTCAGCTCCCGAAACCCCCGCCAAACGGACGACGACACCAGGTGAGGACGGCGAATACCGGCCACAAGGGCCAGTTTCCAGTCCTGTTCAGCGCTCCACACCGCCGCTGCTGGCCTCTGGTGAGGTGGAGCTCAGACTACAACGCCATCTATGAAGTGGATGTGTCGGGCGTTTGTGTCTGAGCCTGTAAGTGAGGTGTTTTAGTGTCCCAGTTATTGATGACGTGTCTGCTTACAGAGTCGACCTGGGACTGCTGTGATGGGAGTTGAGTCAGTCTACCCGAGGCAGCCAGTCTCCATACCTTGTACCTTGTTGCAGCCGTTGTGAAGTCGTCCCCCCGGAAGAACACTGTGGTGTGTTAGCCTGCCAGTGAAGTGGCAGTAAAAGGATTACCCGGGACCGACTGTTGGAGACGATTATCCACTGGGGTATTGAGGACAGGAGGGTGATTTGTGATATCACACGAGACTCCTGTCTAGGGCGTTTACCCTAATATCGTCCGTGGAGTGGCCTGACCAGCGTTGCGGGTCCGGAACCTGCCAGCAGACCGGCTGGATTTGTGGTTGACGGCCTCCACGGCAGTGCCCCCAGTGGACCTGTGTTTTGGCTGACCTGTGGCCAGGGTAGGCTCGGCATTCCCAGAGGACACGTTGTGAGGCCACGAAGAAAGCACCGAGGACTCGGCACCTAGCTTCTGGATCCAGAGTCTTCAGCAGAAGACTATATTGTGAATAATCCCCTTGTATAGTGTTAATACCCCTCCCCCTGTGCACTCTTTGATTTTATATATTTAATTGGTGATGGTGATAATTATAATATTAAGTTCTTAACTTTCTTTCCCTACTCCCTTTAAGTTACTTGCGTCACGGATCACATCCCTTGATAGCCACTACTGGCTTGGGAACGGATATATATATCTTCCTCTAACAACATCAGAGTAAGGACCCAGTTGCGTCCCGAGAGGGCCGTAACATAATTGGCATCCCCAGCGGGATCCGTCCCCTTGTTAAGTATGTTTGACAGGGGTGGTGAAGTGGCGTAATCCCTGTAAATAATTCCCCCTGTGTGTGACGATTGTGACGTTATACGTCCTGTGCGGTGCTCAGAGTGACTAAGTGCGATATTGTGCAGTGCGGTGCTCGCTGTGATTAAGCGATTAAGTGCAATATTGACTAGTGCGGTGCTCAGTGATTCAGTGCAATATTGTAAAGCGAAGTGTTCGCTTGGATTCAGTGCAATATTGGGTAGTGCGGTGCCCGAAGTGATTACGTGCAATATTGGCAAGTGCAGTGTTTGGTGCGATAAAGTGCAATATTGGCGTAGAACTGTGCTAGGTGCGTTAAGTGCTAACGTGTAAGCGGTGTGTTAAGT